CTGCATCTCCTGTTTCCTTGTCTCGTCAAAAGCAAGCCTCTTGTTTAGCCAAAGCTTCAAGCCACAGACCTGTTTTTCTTGGGTAAATTCCCCCAGGTAACCGCAGATATTCCCTCAGGTTAAGCCTCCCCAGGTATTCTTCCCCCTTGGGTCTGTGGCTTGTAGCTGAGGCTGCACCAGTGGCCTTCTTCTCTGCTCCCACGTGCCATCTCATGCACTCCTCTCACATTTCTACTCCTCCAACTCTCCCCTCCGCTCCTCTCCCCATCCACCCCCTTCCCTCTTCCCCTCCCTCCGCTCCTCACATCCCTCAGCACTCCCAGCAGCGCCTTTGGGTTGTGTGAGGCGCTTCAGTGGCGGCAGCACTGCAGCCTCAAGGCTCAAGGCGCCACCACCACTCACAGCCGCACCAGATGAGTACACTCTCTCTTCGATCCTGCCTTTTCAAGCTTTACCCCTCTCTCTCACATGCATGTTCACTCTTATGTTCACTCTCATGCTCTCTCACATGCTCGCTCACATGCATCTTCACATCATACTTCCATCCATGTTGCATGCCTCGTCTCCTAAAACCAAGCCACTTGCAGCAGCCTAGCCCACATGGTGCAGACCCCCCTATACTAGGTATTCCCCCCCTCCAGCCCCCAGGTTAAGCCTACCCTAAGCACTACACCTTTACTATAGCCCTCACTACCTTTGGGTCTGCACCATGTGCCTAGCGATGCTCCTGTGGTCCCTCTGCTGCTCTCACTTCCCACCCACCCCACCCATGCCCGTCTCTCACATTTCTACCCCTAGTTGCTTACTCACTTCTCTTCAGTTCTCTCCTTGCTGGTTGAGGGGAGGGGCGTGTGGGTCAACACTGCCACTCCCTCACGCTCCTCCCCTATGGCTGTGCAGGTGGCGATGGTGGGTGGGAGGGGAGGGGGGCAGCACTCCACTCGGCTGGGATGGGAAGGGAGAGTATCGGAATGGGTTGTCTGAAACAAGGTGAGCCTCTTTCCCTTCCCTGCCAGATATGCATTCATTTGTGTTGTGTCCTTCACTCGCGCTACTGCTTTTCTTCTCCCAATGCTCCCTGTCTTTTCTTGCTCCTATCCTGCTGTCACCCTTCCGCCTGTAATCTCTCCTTCCCTTCCTCCCTGCCTCCCTCCCATCCCAGCAGCCTGAGGCATCATGCTTAGGTAGGTAGAGGTAAGGAGATGTAAGCAGGCATGGGGGTAAAGTGTGTGGTGGGTGAGTGGGTGGGTGGGTGGGGAGCATGGGAGCAAGCGGGGAGTTCACTGCCTTAGGGGCAGCGCCCTCTAAGGTTGTGCCATGTGGGTCGGGCTGTGGTGGGTGGAATCTGTGTGGCACGGCACTCGGTGCTCAAGTAACCGATCTGGCGTTCAAGGCCTAATGGACACCGTCAGAGCCGACCGGCCGGCGGCTCTGGTTCGCGTCAGCTCTGGCTACGTCAGGGGTGGGATTTGAGTCTTGGGCTGGAAGCAATTTCCACCTCCACACTTCGCACCACAAGGTGCTGCCTTGTGGGTGCTGTTTTTGAAAGGGATTGGGTTGTCTGCTCCTCCTACTGCTGGCAGGTAAAGTTGGGCAGTGGCTGGGTGGGTTGGGTGGTGATGGTGGTGAGAGGCAGTGGGGTTGGCAGTGGCACATGATGAGCCGTATGGCACTGATGCCACCTGTTGCATGAGAGCATGATGCTCATGCTTGGTTGGTGGCACATGATGAGCCGTATGGCACTGATGCCACCTGTTGCATGAGAGATGATGGTGGTGAAATTGTGTGCATGTTTAGGGTAAGGGGTGAAAGTGAGAGTGGTGATAGCCACAGGTGAGAGTGAAGGTGGTGAGAGTGCTGCGACTGATTCTTGAGGGCAAGTGAGCGAGTGAATGGTGGTGAGGTTGAGTAGTGAGAGCCAGTGTTGAGGGTTTGTGGTGAGAGTGTGAGAGGTGAGAATGGGCATGAGATGGAGTTGTGGCCATGGCGATTGCATGGTTGTCGTGGTAGGAGGGAGTGAGTGCTGAGAGTGATTGGCTAGAGTGATTTTTTCTGAGTGGTGGGAGGGAGTTTTGAGAGTGGGAGGTGAGAGTGGGAGGTGAGAGTGGGAGGTGAGAGTGGTGGGCGGAATCTGGATGTTTGGATTTAAGGTGTGACTGTGGGCTGAGTGAGCAGAGAGGGTGGTGAGGGTGAGATGCTAGAGTGTGAGGTCAGGGTGGTGAGGTTGGAGTGGTGAGGCTGGTAAGATTGAGTGGCGAGAATGGTAGGAGTGTGGTGAGCGGTGAGGCTGAGCAATGAGACTTAGCGGTGAGAGTGGTGAGAATGGTGAGTGGTGGAGAGGGGTGGGAGTGGCGAGGCTGTGAGATGGGGTGAGTGGTGAGATGGGGTTGAGTGGTGTGGTGAGGGTAAGAGTGAGAGGTGGATTTTCAGTGGCGAAGAGTGAGTGGTAACCGGAAAGATATTGTGGCAACGAGTGTGTGGTGCAATGTGCAAGTGAGTCTAGAGATTGAGGAATGAGAGAGGACAGGGAGTGAATGGTGAGAGTTCAGCAAGAGTGGGGGAGGGTATGTTCCAACAGTAAACTCTCACCATTACTTTTTCTCTGCTGGATATTGTCCCGCTTGATACTGTTGAGACACCCTATGATTCACTTTCATTGTTGATGTATCAGGGTTTAAAGGGAATGACTTGAAAGTAAGAGTTGTTCCTGAAACGTTTGTTATTTCACTCAAGGGAGACCATCGATGTCAGGAGGAGTCGGCTAATGAGCGGCTTATCCAGAGAGAAAGAGTGCATGGGAGCTTTTCTTGGTAGTTATAGCTTCCGTCTGATGCAGACGTAAGGAACGTGTAACGGCTGCTTGTATGGACAACATCTTGACAGATAACGTCAACAAGCTTCCACCACAGCCTGAGCACAAGAGAGTCAAAGATAGCGCACTTACGTCGAAGTGAATTTTGGACTCTGAATTGTGAACATCTGGTTTGCAGTCTCAGTGGGTGTTTGGAGTGGTGGTGTGAAGGTGATACTTGCATACTTCAGAAACTAACTGGGATAGGTAGTGATACATTTCTATGAGCCGAATACCTTTGGAAACCATCAGGTGCATCAAGAGATTTGTTTTACATAGTCAGTTTTTGCCACCAAGTTCAAATATGTCAAGAATACCGTAATTGATTTACTGTTTCATAAATTTTTTCAGGCCATGGCCCTATCCTCATTACACGGGCTGGCTCCTTCCCAAACTTCCGAGAGGGTGACGAACCCATACATTCACCTTTGACCTTTTCGCGAGCGCGTTGGGCTGACAGATCAGCGAAAGGACAGGCGTCACGACAAGGTCAATGCGAAAAGAGTGGTTTCCTTTTCGCGAAATGCCAACTGCGTCGCACATGTCGTGGCTGCAGGTTCAGCAGGCGAACAGTGGATGGAATCACCTAATTAGGGTTTCCCCACCTTCAGCTCTCTTGGCTACAGCAAAACAGGACTGCCGATTTTAGGGTTCAGTAGAGGTTAGTTTACAGTACTACGCCCATGCGACGTCTATCTTATGTGTTGTATTTTGTTCCATCCATCCCTTGTATGTATATTCCGCTTCCGTATTAATCGCCTGGAAGGTAACAGAACTGATCGTAGGCTCGTCGTTTCGAGATCTTTCTTCGCCCTACTGATAAGTGCTGATAAGTTATCACTGTCTGCGTTTCGCGTGTGGTTCGTGCGGCAAGAGGAGGTCCGAGGTAGTACCTGATGGAAGTTATCCCCGTTATAAGGACGTGAGACAATGCTACACGGGAGAAACGCATGTCTAGGTGCGGCTTGCCATAGTAAACGATTGGACTGTTCCTTACGATAGCTATCACTAGGCCCCAGCCGTCACCCCTGATTTCCTTACTTCACTATTCTGTTCTCTAATTATGGCTAGCGAGCCTCTCGTTCGTCTCCCCGTCACCCGTTCCGTTAGCAGGCGCATCGCCGAAGGAGGTTGATCTGATATGATTTGATTCTGGCGAATCTTACTTCCATGATTAATTTGTAACGGCTAGGACTTTCTATGGAAAGGTTTCGTGGTCTTCGCATTGACACGGCTCCACCCCCCGAGCAGCCACACCCACAGCCGCAGCTGCAGCAACAGCACAACTTCGTCAGGCCAGTATTTTCGACCTCAGGTTACACTGGTACATCGGGTTACCCTATTTCGTCTGCAGGGAACGCTTCGTCTGGTTACCCCAGTACGTCTGGTTTTCAGGGAACCAGTTATGGTGCTCCGAATAACAGTGGTTATGCGGCCGGTTACCGTGGCCCGTACGGCACGTCGGCTGTCCCTGGCACAGCCGGCTACATCTCCCCGTACGGTTACAACTCAGGTTCATCTGCCTCCAACGCGTCGTACGGACCCACGTACCGCGGACCGCCCCCGGGGGGACCTCCCGCCTCTTCTTCCGCCGCTCCCGCAGCTGCTCCGCCTTCCGCTTTTGTTTCCGCCACTGGCGCAACCCGGGGGGTGGGGGGCGGAGCAGCCGTCCCCGCAAGCGCAGCAGGCGCAGCTGGCGGATTTGTAGGCGCAGGAAGAAGCGGAACCAACCCCGCGTGGGCGGGAACGTCCGCCGCCGCTGCCGCCGCCGCCGCTATTTTGGCGGAAGCGGATAGGGAGGAGGACCCGGGGGGGCGGCGGGGTTACAGCCACAGCTACAGCCACGGTTACACCCACGCGGGCGCGCAGAGCGCCAGTCAGGCGCACGCGCCGGGCGGAAACAGTCACGCGGCTTCCCGCGTGTCCTCCTCCCGATCCTCTATAAGCAGCTCCTCTAACCGCAGCTCGCCGCGGTCCGACGCGACGGACAGAAGCGCGCGCAGGGCGCGGCGGAAACCGTTTACCGCCAGCGGAGCGGGCGCGGGGCACTCCGCCGTTTCCGCGTCTCTTTCCGCCGGCGCAGCGGATAGCGGGGGGAGCTCTGAGGGGAAGCGGCGGGAGAGGTCCGCGCGCGCGCGGTTACCGCGGAATGGCTCTGTGGGGAGCCTGGTCGGGGAGTCTTCTGGGGGGCATGGCTCTGGGGCGGTGGCGGGGGGGAGGGGGTCCGCGGAAGAGGACGGGGGAGCGCAGTCGCGGGAGAGGGGGCAGCTGGCGCATGGGCAGGCGCGCCCGCTACAGCCGCACTCGTTACAACCACACGTCCTACAGCAGGAGCATCCGCATCTGCATCAACATCACCACCAGCAGCAGGCGCAGGCACAGCAGCAATATCATCACTACCAGCAGCAGCAGTTGCAGCAGCAGCAGCAGCAGGGTCATGGGAGCGGGGATACCAGGCACGGGGGAAGCGGGGACGCGCACGGCGGGGGAAGGGGGGAGACGGGCGGCGGAGCCGGCGGTACAGGCGGGTCGGGCGGGGCGGGCGGAGGGGGCGGAGCGGGAGGGGTGGACTGGCGCGGGTGGAAGGTGACGCGGAGGTTGGAGTTTGAGGGGGCGGACTGCGCGCTGATAAAGGCGTTCCTGGGGGATAGGGACGCGTGGGCGTGTCTCGAGGAGAGCGCTGCGAATCGAATTTACATCTTTGAGTATCTCAACACTGTTCGGACCTCCCACCCGGCACTACTGCAGGTATGTCTTAAACATTAGCGGTTAGCAGTCATATCAGTCTGGTTAGCAGTTAGTTAGCAGTCACAGCAGCCGGCTAGCAGTCGGGGTGTTCCTAGTCTTCACGTCTCGAGAGAGTGCAGCGAATCGAATCTACATCTTTGAGTATCTCAACACTGTTCGCACTTCCCACCTGGCGCTGCTACAGGTATGTCTGGGACGTTAGTGGCTAGCAGTCATAGCAGCCGGCTAGCAGGCAGTTTGTAGTCGGTTAGCAGAGGTGGGAGGTGCTGCATCTGTTTGCTGTGCTGCTCACGGCACAGGACGGGCTGTGATAAAGCCCCCACTCTTCTTCTCATCCCCCTCCCTCCCCCCTACACGCCCCCTGCAGACCTACCAGGCGGTCTTGCTGTCCCACGGGCTGACCACAGAAGCACTGAGGGCGCAGAGGCGGGAGGTGCTGCAGCTGTTCGCTGTGCTGCTCACCGCACAGGACGGGCTGTGATAAAGCCCCCACTCTTCTTCTCATCCCCCTCCCTCCCCCCTACACGCCCCCTGCAGACCTACCAGGCGGTCTTGCTGTCCCACGGGCTGACCACAGAAGCACTGAGGGCGCAGAGGCGGGAGGTGCTGCAGCTGTTCGCTGTGCTGCTCACCGCACAGGACGGGCTGTGATAAAGCCCCCACTCTTCTTCTCATCCCCCTCCCTCCCCCCTACACGCCCCCTGCAGACCTACCAGGCGGTCTTGCTGTCCCACGGGCTGACCACAGAAGCACTGAGGGCGCAGAGGCGGGAGGTGCTGCAGCTGTTCGCTGTGCTGCTCACTGCACAGGACGGGCTGTGGAAGCTAAAAAAAGGGCAGCTTCTCGACCTCATCTGCCACTCGGACGCCTGGAAGAAGACACAACAAGCACAACAGGCACAGCAGGCGCAGCAGTCACAGCAGGCGCAGCAGTCACAGCAGGAGACACGAGAGGCACAACAGGTTGCGGGTGGGGATGAGCGGAGTGCGGGGGGGGGAAGGGCGGGTGGGGCGACGGGTGGTGCTGTGAGGGATGTGGTTGCTGGTGGGATAGCATCCATGAGTGTGGCAGCAGCAGCAGATGCGGCAGTGCGAGGGGGAGTAGGAGCAGGACCGGGAGCGACGACACAGACCAGGCCAGGTTCGGCATCCTCCCGGCCAGGTTCGGCGTCGTCAAGGCCAGGTTCGGCATCGTCACGGCCAGGCTCAGCGTCGTCGCGGCCAGGTTCGGCGTCTTCAGGACCAGGCTCGGTCTTGTCCAGGGGTGGATCAGGCTCGTCCAGACCAGGTTCGGCACAAGGGAGACCCAAGGAAGGCTCACTTGTAGCTGCAACAGCTGCTACAGCCGCTAGTTCCACTGTTGTGAATGGCCCTGTGACCAGGGCTGGTGCTGCTGGTGCTGCTGCTGCTGCTTCTGCTGCTATCCCCCCTGCTCCCACTGTGTCTGCAGCACCGTCAGTGCCCATGTTCCGCCCAGCTCCCCCGTCCAGCAGTCCCCCAGCCCTCTCCCCACGGCCCTGGCGCGGTAAAGCTGCTGCAACGCACGCGCCCACTGCTGCTGCTGCAGCGGAGGCGAATTCAGCAGCAGGAGAAGCAGGTGCTACAGCAGCGTCGGTCACTGCTGCTTCTGCTACTACTGCTGCTGCGTCTGCTACTGCTGCTGCTTCTGCTGTTGCTTCTTCCTCAGAATCTGCAGCTGCTGGGGCTTCTGCGAGTGAGCAAGAGGGAGGGGAGGGTATTTTCTCCTCCTCCTCCTCCATTCTCCCTTCCACCTTCTCCCTGTTCTTCAAGCCTAAGATCCCCGCAGGTCCCACTTCCAGACCTCCCTCCTCGTCCACCCACACCCAAACCTCCACTCCAGGTTCGGTAATCAGCTCGGTTTCTTTCGCTAGCTTCGGTTCCGGCTTCACTAACCCTAACCCTAATTCCCGAACCGAGGCTGCCTCCGAAGCTAAATCCGAGCCTCCGGCACGAACCATGTCCGGAAGTGTAGCAGGCTTACAGCCTGTATTCAATCGCTCTTTAACGGAGCGTGTACCTGCTAGTAGGAGTGCAGAAGGGGCAGCGGGGCAGTCAGTACCGGGAGGAACTCTATATGGGGGACAACGAGGGGCGCTCATTGCCCCTGTGGGTATACCACAGGGGGTGTCTGGGAATGGGGGGTATGGAGGGCAGGGGGGGCAGGGGCAGCAGCAGGGGGGCCAGGGGGGATACGGAGAGAGTGCGTACGGCAGGGGAATGCAGAGTCTCGCACAGAGATTCGGTGCTGCTTTTGCGCGCTCTTTCTCTGCAGGAAAGGAGCTCGCTTCAGCTGCTGCTGGTGCTGGTGGCGGTGCTGCTGGTGGTGATGTCGCTTCTGCTGCTTCTTCTTCTGTTGCCAGTGGCGGGGGTGGGCTAGTTAGTGCATTAGCAGCTAGAAAGCAGCCGCCACAGCAGCAGTATCAACAATCTCAACAGCAGTACTCCCAGCAGCAGCAGCACCAGCAGCAGCAACAGCAGAATTATGGCCGCAGGCTGGACCTAGGCCCCTTATCCCCGTTAGAAGAGCAGAGGGATGAGCTTAAACCGGAACAAAACGGTTTCATCCGCTCCCAGACCCTGTGGGTGGGCAGGGGCGCTAGGGGCGGGATCCCCCCCGCTAAAGCGCCAGTTGCTTCTACCGCAGCTGCTTATAGAGAGAATGGAACCTCTACCGCTTTTGCCAATCCCGCTGCCAATGCTGCTGCTGCCGCTGCTCCGGAATTCGTCCGGTCTAGCACCCTATGGGCTGGTAGGGCGGCCCCTCCTATTGTGGCTGCTGGAGCAGCTGAGAGAGGGTTACTGATGGGTCGGATGCCTGGGCTAGGAGAGAGAACGATGAGCTTAGGGGGACGCACGCTGAGCTTGGGAGGGAGGAATCAGAATTTGGGGGGCGTTGTGAGAGGCGCTTCACTGGTGAAGGTTGTACCAGTGAGGATGGAGGAAGAGGATGAGGAGGAGGAGGATTTGTATGGAGAGGGGTATGGAGAGGAGGAAGAGGAGGATTTGTACGGGGAGGAGAGTGGGGGTGGGGTGGGAGGGGGAGTGAGGGAGGGGGAAGGGGGGAGTGTGGAGGGGAGAGAGGCGAATGGTGCGGTGAGTGAAGGGGAGGAGGAAAGGGAGAGTGGGGAGAGCGAGGGAGATGGGGAGAGCAGGGGTGGTGGAGGGAAAGAGGAAGAGGACGAGGGCGGAGGAATGGGGGTGCTTAGACTGCCGAGTATTCGAGTGGGGGATATGAGGAAAGTGATGCAGGAGAAAAGGGTTCAGCAGGAGTGGGAGGTGCAGCAACAGCAGGAGCGGCAACTGCAGCAACAGCAGCAGCAACAGCAGCAGCAGCAGCAGCAGGAGCAGCAGGGAGGGGAACGGGAAGGAGAAGGGATCTTAAGGTTGCCGAGTATACGGGTGGGAGATATGAGACGCGTGATGCTGGAGAAACGGAAACAGCAGGAGAGAGAGCTACAACTGCAGAGAGAAAGAGAGGCGTTGTTGCAGGAGCAGCAGAGGCGGCAGCAGGAGGAAGAGGCTTGGCGGAGGGAACAGCTGAGAAAGCAGCAGGAGGAGGAGGAGTGGTGGCAACAGCAACAGCAGCAGCAGCAGCAGCAGAAGAAGGAGGAGGAGCAGCAGAAGCAGCATCTGCAGCGAGTTCAGGGTGACTTAGGAAAATTGGATGTGTATAGATCGAACAGCAATGGTAGTAGTGCTGTAGACGCCCCTTCGGATATCCGACACAGCTCTGGAGAGTCCTTTAACGGGGATGCAGGCAGTAGTAGCGTTATAGATGCGCCTTCTGTGATCAGACACAGTTCTGGGGAGACATATAACGAGGATGGTGCTCGTGATGGTGGGAAAAGTCACAGCAGAAGAAACACCAGCAGCAGCAGCAGCAGAAGCAGTGCTGGCAGTCAAGATAGTGAGGGGGATAGGGGGAGTGGTAGAAGCAGCAGCGTTAGCAGCAAGAAGGGCAGCAGCAGGGGCAGCAGGGGCAGCAGGGGCAGCAGAAGCAGCAGCAAGAGCAGCAGAGAGAGCAGCAGGGAGGGCAGTAGGGAGAGCAGAGGGAACAGCAGAGGGAGCAGCAAAGGGAGCAGCAGCAGAAGTAGGTCAGGTAGTGCTGAGAGCAGCAGGAGCAAGGGCAGTGCTAGTGACGATGGTGCCAGTTCCCATAACAGTAACCATAGCAGTAATCACAGTAGTAACCACAGTAGTAACCACAGTAGTAACCACAGTAGCAACCACAGCAGTAACCACAGCAGTAACCAAAGCAGTAACCACAGCAGTAACCACAGCAGTAACCATAGTAATGGCAGTGGCAGTGGCAGTGGCAGTGGCAGGGGCAGGGGCAGGGGCAGGGGCAGGGGCAGTGGCAGGGGCAGTGGCAGGGGCAGTGGCAGCGACACAGAGGATGGGGTTAGTGGTAGTGGCAGTGACAGGGGCAGGGATAGCGGTAGGGACAGCAAGTCTGATACGGGAGATGACAGGAGAAGCTGCAGCGAGGGATGTAGTAGCAGCAGTGGTAGCAGGAGCAAGAGGCACAGCAGCAAAGGCAGCAGAGGGAGCAGTGGCAAGAGCAGAAACAGCAGCAGGAGCAGCAGCGGTGGCAGGAGCAGCAGCAGCAAGAGGAGGAGGAGGAGGAAGGGCAGGGGCAGAAGTAGCAGCCAAGAAAGCTTGCATTCTGTCGGGGACGCTCACAGCAGCAGCAGCAGCAGCAGCAGCAGTGGTGGTGGCGAAGGCAATGGTGTTGGTGGGGCCAGTGCTGCAGACGCATCTTCAGAAGGGCGTTCAGCAGTGGTTCAAGAGAATGATGTGCGCACTTTTGTCGAGGATGATAAGACTTCAGTTGAAGCCGCACATGCTGCTGCCGCTGACACTCCTGCTGCCACTGCTGCCGCTGCTGCCACTGTCTCTGCTACTTCTGTGCCCTCTTATCCTGCTGTTCTCTCTTCTCCCACTGCTGATTCTGCTTATGGTGATACTGGTGATGATGCTGCTGCCACGGCTAGTGTTGCTGCTGCTGCTGCTACTTATGCCAGTGAATCTGTTTCAGCAATCGATGTTGCTGATCATCCTGTTCCTGATGGTGCCGCTGGTTCTCCTGCCGCAGCTGGTCTTGCGAACGCTGGTGCTGCTGCCACTAATGCCAGTGAATCTGTTTCAGCAGCCGATGTTGCTGATGCTCCTGCTACTGCTGGTGCTAATGGTTCCGTTGCAACAGTAGATGCTTCTGATGCTGCTGCTGGCACAGATGCGTCTGCTGCTACAGATGCCACCGATTTAGTTACTGATGTCATCACTGGTGCTACAGATGCCACCATTGGTGTAACAGATGCCACCACTGTCACTGGTGGTTCTGCTCCTGTCACACTCGCCCCTGCTACAGCCGCCTCTGTTGACATTTCCAGTGCTACAGCCGTTCCTCTCCCAGCTTCTCCTACTACATTTGCCTCTGCCGTGGTCCTCCCTGCTGCTACATCTGCTTCCGCTCCTGCCCCCACCCCTCCTCCTAGGGTCACATCCGCCCTTGATGACATCCCTCCTGCCGCTACAACCGCCCCGGCCCCCGTCTGTCCTGCCGCTACAGCCGCCCCTGCCCCCACCCTTCCTGCCGCTACAACCGCCCCTGCCGCCGTCCCTCCTGCTCCTGCCGCTACAGCTGCGTTCACTGCCTCCCTAGCAAGCGGCGCTGCTGCCACGTCTGTAGCGGCAGCAAAGGCGGCTGTAGCGCTGCCACCTTCCCCCGTCCCTCCCCCTGCTGTAGCCGCCCCTGCCGCCATCCCTCCTGCCGCCGCTACAGCCGCCTTCACTGCCTCCTTGGCGAGCGGCGCTGCTGCCACGTCTGTAGCGGCGGCCAAGGCGGCTGCAGCGCTGGCAGCTTATAAACGCTCCTCCACCCCCCCGAAGAGTCCTGTGGATCATGATACGTGGGATTCGGGGGAGGAGGAGGAGGGGGAGGGGAGCGGGGGGTGGGGAGGAGCTGTGGGGAGGAAAGGCAGGGCTGCAAGCTATGGGGGGGTGACTGGTGTAGAGCGAGGGGAAGGGTCGAGGGAAGGTGGGAGAGTGATAGGGGGATTGGTAGGTGGGGGGGTTGGGGACATAGAGGGGAGGGGATTAGGACAAAAGGTGGAGATAGAGACAGGAGGGGAAGGAAGAGGAGTGAGTGGAGCAGGAGGAGCAGGAGGAGCAGGAGTAGACGCAAATGTTCCAGGGGTTAGTGTGGCTAGTGGCAGTGCGGTTGGTGGTGGTGCGGCTGCTGGCAGTGCGGTGTGGCAAGGGAGGGAGTGGTTGGGAGGAGTGGAGGTGTTTGGGAGTGCCATCGACAACATGTGGAGCCCGCTTCCTGTGTTCCTGGGGAGCAATGCAGGTACACAGTCACAGTTCAAATCCCCCCGTACAGTCACACAGGGACAGTCACAGTTCAAAGCCCCACATACAAGCACACAAGCACAGCCACAGTTGAAATCAAATCAAGCGATTTCGGGGACAAGCAGTCAGCACAGGCCGCCGCACAGAACAACCAGCCGCTTTGACAGCTCTGGAACCACGCCTAACCCCACTGGAACCATGCTTGACCCCTCTGGAACTGCGCTCAACCCTTCTGGACCCATGTCTCTTACCACACCTATTAACACAATGACTCCCACTGATATAATCACACCCACCAGTGTAGTCACACCCACGTTTCCCACCCCTAACAGCCTAACACCATCAACATCATCAGTCGCTGCAGCAATAGCAGCATTCTCAAACCCAACTGCCCTTGCTGTCTACCCAGTTACCCCATCAACTAGTGTTATTAGCGGGGTTGCCCCAACCAGTGGAGTTGCCAATAGGGTTACCATACCCGTTACCCCGTCAAGTGTTGTTTCTGGTTACACCCCTGTTGCTCCTCTCCACACCCCTCCTTCCTTCCTCGCTCGCCAAAACTCCGCCCCTCCTGCTACCCCTATGGGAAAGCCGGGGGGTTTTACCCCTGCCTGGGGTACCGATGCTGGTACTGCTGGTGATGCTGCTGGTGGCAACGCAAATGCTGCCTCTGCTGCGGCTGTTACAGAAGGAGCTACATCCGCTGCTACAGCCGGTCCTACAGCCGCTGCTTCAGCTGGTGCCACAGCCCGCTCTGCCCGCTCTCTCTTTGCCACGGAGCTGCAATGCACAGTGTGTGGCCACGTGGACCTGTGCCAGCTGGACGCCAGCCTGGCGCGTGACGTGGCAGAGCTGCATGCGTTCCTGTGCCCCGGCGGTGACGTCAGCAGCAGCAGCAGCCACCCTGGTGACGTCAGCAACACCGGAGGCGGCGGCAGGAGCAAAACGAGTGAATACATACAGCAGTGGTCCTCTTTGCTCCCCCGCACAGCCCTGCACACTCGCTTCCTGGCCGTTCCAACTGCTCTCAGGCGCAGGCAGAAGCAGATGGAGGAGAGGCAGGGGCAGAAAAGGCAGGTGCAGCAGCAGGGGGGAGAGAAGGGAGAGCAAAAGGAGACGCAGCAGGAGGGGCAGAAGAAGGGGAAGCAGGAGGGGTGTTTGGTGCTGCAGGCGCTGCAGCGAGGGGTGTGGAGGAATGAAGAACTCACTCAGGATGTGCTACAGCAGCTGGGGGTGGGAATGTTGCAGGTGGGTGGGTGGTGGGTGGTGGGTGGTGGGTGGTGGGGCCATGGGGGTTGTGGTGTGGTGTAGTGTGGTGTGGTTGTCAAAAGACAAGCTTGTGGTGCTGTGATACTGTCTTCCCTTTCCCCATTCCCCCACCCTATCATCCTACTCCTCTACTTCTCCTCCTCTCCCTTCTGCTCTTGTCTTTTGTCTCCTCGCTTCCATCCCAATGCCACTTCTGGGTGTGGCGTGACTATCAAAAGACGCGCCTGTGGTGCCTCAATACTGTCTCCCCTTTCCCCCTTCCCCCACTCTTTCGACCTACTCCCCCTTCCCTTGCTCTTGGTTTGCAGATTCTTGCTTCCATCCTCAAGCCTCTCCCGGGAGTTGCGTGGGTATCAAAAGATGAACTGGTGGGAATCGTGGTTGCTGAGAGGGAGAGGAGGGAGGTGGAGGAGAGGAGCAGGAGGGAAGAGGAGGAGAAGAAGAGGAAAGAGGGGGCGGAGAGGGAGAGGAGGGAAGAGGAGGAGAGGAACAGGAGGAGAGAGGAGGAGAGGAACAGGAGGGAAGAGGAGGAGAGGAACAGGAGGAGAGAGGAGGAGAGGAACAGGAGGGAAGAGGAGGAGAGGAACAGGAAGGAAGAGGAGGAGAGGAACAGGAGGGAAGAGGAGGAGAGGAACAGGAAGGAAGAGGAGGAGAGGAAGAGGAGGGAAGAGGAGGAGAGGAACAGAAGGGAAGAGGAGGATAGGAAGAGGAGGGAAGAGGAGGAGAGGAACAGGAGGGAAGAGGAGGAGAGGAACAGGAGGGAAGAGGAGGAGAGGTACAGGAAGGAAGAGGAGGAGAGGAAGAGGAGGGAAGAGGAGAAGACCACTGCAGCCGCTTCTGCTGCTCCTGCTGCTCCTCCTCCCACTGCTCCTGCTGCTCCCCCTCCCACTGCTCCTGTTGCTCTCCTTCCTACTGCTCCTTCTGCTGAACCTCCTGCTGCTGGTCCTCCTGCCACTGCTTCTCAAACTACTCTAGCCACAGTGACGCATCCTGCTACAGTGACGCATCCTGCTACAGTGACGCATCCTGCTACAGTGATTCATCCTGCTACAGTGACGCATCCTGCTACAGTGACGCATCCCGCTACAGTGACGCATCCTGCTACAGTGACACATCCCGCTACAGTGACTCATCCTGCTACAGTCCCTCATCCTTCTATAGTCACAGCGCCTCACCCACCTGCACGGGCACCTGCTACAGTCACAGCCCCACACTCAACCCCAATAGCACCTGCTATAGGCACAGCATCACACCCACCTGCTCTCGCACCTGCTATAATCACAGCTCCTTACCCAACTGCACTTGCACCTGCTATAGTCACAGCTGTCCCCCCACATGCATCAGCTCTAGAACCCATTCCGCCAGGCAGCATTCACGTCAACTCTCCACTTCACCTCGCACCTTCTGTTGCAGCTGCACACCCAATCACAGCATCACCTGCTACAGTCACAGCTGCACACCCATCCGCCTCTGCTCTGAGGCCCAATCCTGCAGGCAGCATTCACGTCAACTCCCCATTTCACCTAGCTTCTGCTGCTGCTGCTGCTGCTGCTTCTGGTGCTGCTGGCGCTGGTGATGCCATTCGTGCTTCTGACTACACTGCCGCAGCTGCTGCTGCTGCTGCTGCTGGTGCTGCTGTTGCTGCTGTTGCAGCCAGACTTGCCCCCATCAATGTTAACCCCACCCTGCCTTCTCCCGAGCAGCTGAGCACGTTCCAGGAGGCTTTGCAGAGCGGTGCAGGTGGTGTTGAGAGCGGTGTAAATGGTAGCACCGACAATGGCTCTTTAAGCCAATTAGAGGCTCGGGCACTAGCAGCACTAGAAGACGATCTTAGCTTCAATGCCAAGGCTGCGGTTCAGGAGCAACGGGCTGCTGCAGAGGCTCGGGCAGTCCTTGCCGAAGCTGAGGAGCAGCTTCGGCGAGCACAGGCAGCAGTGGACCGAGCCAGAGCTGCTGCCTCGGAGGCAACCCACCGGGCCGAAGCTGCTGCTGCGGAGGCTCGGGAGGAGATGGATCAGCTGGATGAGGCTCGGGAGCAGGTTCGGAGAAAGGCTGAGGAGTGTCGGCGCGCTTGGGACCGCCACATCAGCATCGTTCGCCAGCTGGCGGCTGTATCGCCTGGTGCGTGTGGCAGGAGGTCTTATTCCAAAAGGCGCAAGGAGGAGTTTGAAGCGGCAGCGAGGAGTTATGAGGAGTACTTGACGCTGTGGGAGGAGCTTGAGTGCATGGGTCGAGGGAGCATGCCGGAAACTCCGCAGGCTCAATAATGCCTGTATAATGCAGTCCATGTTGAAAACCCCGCTCGAATTATCTACAAAAGGATTGCACTTGGGAAGTACTTGACGACGAGGCAGGAAATTTCCTGCCTGCGGAGTGCTTGTGCTTGCTGGAGGAGCTCGTGGTTATGGAGGGTGCGTGGAGGGTGCACGGAGGGGAGGGTGCGTGGAAGGTGTGTGCATTGCCACAGGCAAAACAATGCTACATGGCAAGGGGGGTGCGGAGCACACAACATTGAAGTGAGCTTGAACCTGTGGCATGGAGTGTTGCATGTGGCTGAAATGCCTTGGGCATGATCAGGCATGCATGGGGAGGAGAGAGGAGGGTTCTGCAGCCCCTGCAAGTGTGCAAGGAGGTTGAATCCATTCGGCTGGGTGGTGTCTAGATGCTTACAGGCACGGATAACCTGAATAACAAGTCATGGTGGGGTTACTGGTACATAGGAGCAGGGTGTCTGACTTAACAATAGGAGCACTAGTACCAGTAGGTGTGTTAGCTAGGGATAGGAGGATGAGTGCTGGTGCACTCACTTTTATGTGCTCTGTAAATATAGCTGCAGTGAAATAATGGACAGAGTTTTTGACTCCTACCTTAGTCTCAAATGAGTATGAGAACGTTTGATCACTAGCCATCCCTGCTCCTGTAAAGTGCATACCCACCATACACTCTAGGATGGCATTCTCAATCTGTTGCAGTGGTACACTTGCTGTCATTCATCCGTATAGCCATAGACAGTGAGGGTGAGGGTGTTCATTCACCATGTTTTGACAACTTTACGGATAACAGTACAGTTCAAAACTTTAACATTTCTGCAACCCAAGAAGCACAACAAGCTGCAAACCTGCAGCCGTCAAACAGGCACTCGCTGCAAGCCTGCAAGCAACACGAGCTAACAAAACTAGACACTCCAGGCAATGGCGAAGCCTGAATGAACATGAACGGCATACAGGAACGTAACCTGCTGTACAAGGTGAGGTGGATGTACGCGATATAAGGGGGATGTAGGCGGATGTACAAAACTACTGTAGGTCGGTAATCTCTTGGAGATTGGTAGCGTCTTCAATTCCAATGAGGAAAATCGGAGCAGTCAAATGCCACTTGCCGGTTGCGTTAAAAGCAGCACCAGAAAAGGAAATACATCTTGACAAAATACGTAACGGCACCGTCTCCGCGAGTATCCCCGTTATAGACATTAATCTCTCCCCGATGCAAGCATCATCCTCCACTGGTCGTCCTCCTCCTTCTCATTGCCGAATGATCTCGCGCGGACAATCACGTCTTTTCCCGACGGAGGTGACGCTTCAAGCGGAGGCGCGAGGCGGAGGCCGCAAGGCACGGCGCTGACGACGGCGGAGGAGCTGAATGCCTTGCCGACGCTCTTGTCTCGCGTGAGAATGACCCTCAACCACGGTGCCGTCGCCATGTCGGAATTGAAATATTATTCAAGGTGACTCGGGGACAAAAGTATTCCTCGAACAATTACGGTATCTGAAGTGATCGAGCACCCAATTCCGACAAGGAAATATTCAGAGTGCAGGGTACTTCTGTCCTATCCAAGTTGTGAGCTCGGATAAAGAACACTAGCACGATGAGCGAGCAGGCAGAGGTGGAGAGAGTGGAGAGGAAATGGAGGCAAGGGAGTTTTATGTACAGGCGGGGGGTGAGTGAAGGTGGAGGGGAATGAGGGGATGGGGTGGGTTGAAGCTGGAATGACGGTGGGATCAGCACGAGGCTACAATTTCCGGTAAGGCAGGCAACGGGACATGAACATGAGAAAGGGGTGCAGCAGCAGAGCAGAGCAAAAGGAATGGGGTGGTGTGATGATGAAGTGGGTTGTCTGTCTTTGACTGTCCGTGTTGTGAATCACACTGTCCATCAACGTTTCTGAGAATGGAGCCGTTTTGAACATCGCCATGCCATGGCGGGTACTGTATAGGTAGAAATGTGGGCGAAGGGAAAGGAGCTGGAAAGGCAGCCAATGGGGGGAGCCGGCGGCACAAGTCTTGGCAAGGGAGGGGGGACTGCGGTTCCAGAGAGCGGAGAGGGGGGTGTTCGGCGGAACGAGACTCTCGGCAAAATCCGTGGTTGTGCGGTGCGTTGCATTTGGTGCCTCGAGGTTTCATTGATGACTAGGCGACGACGGCACGAATTTCGCTCTGACACGCAAAGAAGAGTCGTCATTCGCAAGCAGGGAAGTCGAACAATCCCAAGGTGACGAGAGTCTTGGCTGAGCAATATCCGAGACACGAATGTTGACGTGGAAAGTAGTGTATATGATTCAGCAGCGATGGCTCTGGTTCTCAGGAGTGGTTGCTTCTGGACAAGGCTGCGTGGCGCCTCATCAGTCATTTGCCTGGGAATCACGGAAGCTTTTACATTGGTCAGACCACGTCAGACCTACCCAATCACAACGCTTTAAATCACTCGTCACAGGCCGACCCAGTTTTAACACACCGCATGGGTCGGCCACTCGTTTCCAGAGGCTATAGTTATAGTGTTGAAATGCAAATAATAACACCGGTTTGGACTAGCAGCATCCTAGCAGCATTATGAAATAGATACTCCTTGACACGTGGAAACACAATAACGAAAAAATTACACACATAAAAGTTTTACAAACCATCTGGTTGGGCTGGACCTTTGCTCTTAATGACCTTCCCCTCTTGCCCCACAGCTACCGCAAATTCTCGGAGCTGCTTCATTACTGCTTGATTCCGATGGGCTGCCACGAGGTAGAATGTTGTTGCACGAGACTGATGGATGGAGAGAGCTAGGTAGGAAGAGAATGCTGGTGTGGTGCATATTAAAGGAAGCTGCCTCAACAGAAATCTCATATCAATGCAAAAAGGGTGGACAATGTCGTACCTGAGAGAATGACGTCGTCAGGTTCCACTCTTTTCCTCTTGGCATGCCGTGCAAACAACTGCACGTCCCGAGCCAATTGTTCTGCAGCCAGGCGAATGGAAGCACGGAGTTGGGTGGATATGTTCGCAGTGTAAAACGAACAATAGAAGAGTGAAACATTCTAGCAGCTGAAGTTAGCAGAAGGAGCTCGCGAACATCATGAGACGATAAGACAGTAGGTGCTCACCTGCATACGTCAGGGTCAGGTGCACAAGCGCCTGCATGACGTCATCGTGGATGGACATCCCTGCCGACCGAGCTGAAAAGAACGAGAAGATAAGAACATGGGGAACGAGCGGATATCATGAGTTGCCTAAGCGTGTCACCGTGTACGGAGACACCCGAGAAAGAATAAGACGGATATGGACTCGAAGATGGAGATAAGGAAAAAAGCAGGAACGACATAGCTTGCAAGCCAATACTACTAGCTGTGTGACGAATATCGTATCTGATTTTTCCACTAGTCTCACCAAGGATACTCACCTACCCGTCTCTTCCGCTATAGTCACCACCGCTGCTGCCATGCGCTGTTCCACTGCCTTCCTTTCAGTCTCATCTCCAACGCCTTCGTGCTGACCGTCTCTCTGTTCGCTTCGTTTCTCGAAACCTTCGTGCCCAGTACTCCTGATGTTCCGCTCCTCAAAAGCCCTTTCGGAATGGGATCCATTCCTTTCAGACTCATTTCTCCCCAGTCCGTAAGTTCCCGCTTCTTCTGGCTGTGCTGTATCTCCTCCCTCAAGCCAACGGTCGCTATCCTCTCTCGCCATCAAATGATTCTTCAAATTTACGCGTGGTGCTTGCAAGATATCTGCTTCTTGGTTCCTAGGTTGCTGGATATTGTTCCTCCCATCCAAATCACTGATTTCATCCAAGGTGACGTGCACACGTGCATATCCAAATTCTTAGCACTATGTCGAGAACTTTTTGTTAGTGGAGAGCATTAGAGTTTAGTTTATCATCCTATCATAAATGTAGAAGTGTGGATCTACTCGCTGCGTCATTTTAACAGAACACACCGTGTTGAGGATCTACTGCTGTGCTGGTTCAGGAGGTTGGGTTCAGGCAGTTACCGAAGCGGTGTTTTCTTCAGGTGGAATACCTCCCTGCGCAGCAGGTTAGTTGCCGACATGGTGCCGCGATTTGGCAATGTTGCGACCTCAAAGAACTTCGTCCTCACCTGTGATTGGCTCTGTGATCGTTGACGGGACACACATTTTCGCAGCATCACCAGTGGAGCAATCCCACGGTTACGTACGAATGCTGTGAGATGCCACGCACATCGCCAGACTCCGCGCGGCAACAACTATGTGGAGATCCCATGTGGCAGTGCGACGAACCACAAGTGGTCATCCCTCCTGCCATGAGCCGAGCCTAGATGTCCCCTATACTTAGACAGTCGAAGCTGGTAAGAAAGACAGGTCAAGTACCAAACCAGTCTGGCTTGTTCAGCTTCCATACCACCAGCTGCCCCCGAGCCTCTCCAATAACGTCCCATACCTAGGCAGTGCCACAATTCCGCACCAAACCATTCCCACCAACCAACCAACCAACTCAGCTTTCAATTCCGTCAGCCATGGATTCTCTTCCCAGGTTAGTAGCCATAATCTCAAGTTTATGATCTGGCACCAATGTCTACTTTTATGGCAGTCCCTTCGTGTGACGTTGATCCATTGAGGCGCTTATTCATTGGCGTGCTATACGCTTGATTGCGAGGTGAAGCTTCTGGCGTTTCTCTTACTCTTCGTCATGCTCCCTGAAGCCATTGCAAATCCCTAAGCACCATTTCGTCAGTGGCTTCGACCTAGAATACATTATGACACAGTCGGCTCGCTCCCGTGAGCACGAACGTGTATCTTCAAGTTAGCATCCTTCATGTAGCTATTGAAAATAGAGCGTTAGGCATTTACGAAAAGGCCATCATTCGAACTCACGCGTAGACGCAGCACCCTGACATCACTCGCGTGGATCGACTTCGTAAGTCGAGTTTCTCCTAAATCTGCCATTCGCTGATCCATCCCATTGCTGATCCAACCATCTGCGCTTCACCTGCTTCGGCGCTTTCGCGAGGCTATCAGCGGCCGTGAAAGAATCGCGGAGGTTTGGAGCAACACCACCTTGATCAAGACCCACTGACCTTCAATCTACACTACGAAACGGGACATAACTAACAGCTCATAGCTCACAGCTAACAGCTTGCCGTTCCTGCTTACAGCTGATGACAATGGATGACAAGAAGAACAGAAAGCGAGGCCCTCGGCATCGCCGAGGCGTCCTGATTCTCGTGCTGCTTCTCGTCGGCGTCGCTGCGTTCCTGGGGTTCGCGTTCAGTTCCTCATCCAAGTATAGCAGCCGAAGTGGCGTTCAACAATCTGACGGGTATAACCACCCTGCCAATCTCCTCTAGATCATGCCGTTCTTTCCAGAAATAGTTTGTTCCTGCGGTTCGCATTCAGTTCCTCATTCAAGTACAGCAGCCGAAATGGCGTTCAACAATCTGATGGGTGTAACCACCGTGCCGATTTTCGCTAAATTCCAACCTTGTCTATATTTAATGCCCTAGTTTATTTATGTTCGTGCCTTCCCACTTTCGTTCTGGTTCCCATTGTCTGCTCTGATGTTCTTTTCTGTCCTCCGTGTGATTTATTGTTCTGTGCCATGGCAGCGTTATTGGGCAAGCGGCATCAGGTATGTAGTTGTCATTCTTTATCCTGGCCTTATTTCCGTTCTCCGGAACCAATAACCAGTGAAAAATATCAGATTTTTGTGAGAAGAGGTTTTCGGATCAGAGTGCTAAAGAATTTTGACAGTAGCTCGCTGATTCGCGCTTATCTTCGCGCTGAGAAATACATCCTTACACGCTTGGAATCACACATTTGTCAGAGTTTCGCTGCTGTTTCTGACAAATAAACTGGAGATTCTTCAGAAGCTGTTGAGATGATCAGGCAACGGGTTGCTTTCTCTCATGTGTCCCGATCCGTCCGTTTACGGTTCCAGTTCGCATAACAGTCCCGCGCGAAAGCATGCTCGCTCTCAGAAAAGCGGAGATTTTGCGAGTAAAAGATCGCGTGACAGACACTGACAGAATGGTCAAATCTCGTAAATATTAACATTTTTTCGTCTGGCGCATGTGTCCTGCTGGTGATCGCTCAGAAAAGCGTGGGTAAATGATTGCTCAGCAAAGCGTGGGTAAATGATCGCTCAGCAAAGCGTGAATAAATGATTGCTCAGCAGAAGTCGAGCAGGTTGATTAGGTTTCCATGCGTACGCGGTGAGATCACACATCTTACAGGAACTTTCTTGATCCTTATTACTTTCCTCGTGTCTTCCGCCTTCATTGGTGTCCCATTTCGTCGTATCCGCCGATCCGCCACGTGTGCAGAAGGAGGGAGCGGGTGGAGCTTGCTGGGGCAGGGCATGCTGGAGGCAGTGGGGAAGGTGCTCAGCTTCGAGGAGCGCCAGAAGGTGTCCGAGGATCTCAAGGAGTCGGGCGACGACGACCACGAGGTGAGCGTTCTGCAGTGCGGTGTAGTGCGGTGAAGTGTGGTGTAGTGAAGATGTAGTGAAGATGTAGTGAAGTGTTCCGTGGGTCAGTGTTGTCCTCGGCTGAAGAAGGCCCTTCGGGTGCTCAGCAGCGTCGAGGAGCGCCAGAAGGTGTCGGAAGACCTCAAGCAGTCGAGCGACGACGACCACGAGGTGAGTTTGCTGCGGAACTTCTTCTGTCAGTGCGCGACTGGAGAAAGAGTTTTAGGAGCCCAGGCATTGACGATCGTGAGTTTAGCTATGAAACGATGATAGGCGACCACAATCGTGATCAAGCGATTTCCACAGCGCTTCCTCTGTTGCGTCTTTTCCAGTGACTGCCTTAGCCACCAAATCGAAGGAGCAAATGGATGAAAACAATCTGACCATTTTCCTGCTCGTGATCAAGCAATTTCAACAGCCTATGACCTGCTGCAAGCTTTTTCCTTGTTATCTCACAAACCCATCAGTCCTGCAGCTTTACTTGTTCCCGTCATTCCCCTCCCCTCCCCTTTCCCCATTCGCTTGGCGCTCTTAGCAATCGTTGCCACAGCCACCCGCAGAAAGCGCAAGGGCCACAGGCGACATGGCAGCAGCAGCGGCATCAGCATCCCTAAAACCCATCCGCGCTGTATCTCACTCGTTCTTACCCATCTTCTCTCATTCCCCCCTTCCCTTGACGCACTCACAGGCCGAAGCAATCGTAGCCACAGCCCCCCCAGGCAGTGCAAGAGCCACAGGCGACATGGCAGCAGCAGCGGCAGCAGCAGCGCTAAAACCCCGTGGAGGGGGCAGCTCTGGCAGCACTGCAGCTGCAGCAGCAGACGACAACCCCCTGAAGAACAAAACCATGGCGGAGCTCAGCTCGCTGGCCGTGGGTGTGACTGTAGACCGCGTGCCTCTATCGGGGTTCATGGGTGTGGATGGGCGGCTGGGGATCACGGATGGCAGCTGCGAGGCTGCGTCTGGAGAGAGGGATTGCCTGCCGCATGGCATCTGCATCAACGGGAAATGCCAGTGCACCCTCCCGTGAGAACATCATCTCTTTCCAGTTCAGATCACCCAATGTGAAGTACTGTGTTGGCATATGGTTCACTTGGCTTGACGGTGGCATCTGCAACAGCAGGAAATGCCAGTTCACCCTCCCCTGAGTGACTCAGGGGATTCACAATACATAACATCTGTGCAACTCACTTGTGCTCAGATCAGAGTTCCCTTTCCCATGGCACCCCTCCCCTTCCCCCCCTACCAACAGCTACCAAGGTGTCTTCTACCGGTCAGCTCGGCGCCCCTTTGTGCGCAAGAAGTCAACTTACGACGGCCGCTTTCTGCTGAGCGCCTTACCCTTCTTCTTCCCCCCCTCCCTCCCCCCATCCTTCCCCCGTCACCTCCGCTCCACCCTCCCATCCCCCTGTCTATCCCCCCCCCTCTCCAACAGCTACCAAGGTGATTTCTGCCGCTCTGCACGGCGCCCCTTCGTCCGCAAGAAGTCCACCTACGACGGCCGCTTTGTGCTGAGCGTGAGGCACGTGCGCAAGGCACACGGGGTCAAGTACCCTCTCACGCCCTCCCCTGGCTCCTACGCTGCCACCAACGCTGCTGCTGCTGCTGGCGCGGAGGGAGGTGCGGAGGAGGAGAAGGAGAAGGAGGGCGAGGGCGCGGCGTTTTTCGAGGCGCCGTTTTTCACTGCGGGGAAGGTCAACCGCGTTGTGTGGGGCAACCTTCAGAAGGTGAGGGCGTTGTTCTGATGCTCATCTCTCTCCACAACAGGGCAAGCTGATGGAGCTGGAGCCCATGCTCTCCTCCCAGGCGTTGCCGGAGCACCTGCCTGCCAGGCATCGACCTGCTTCAGAACGCCCTCTTAAACTCAACTCCTTACACTTCACTCATTCACAAAACCTTGTGTGTTGTTGCCATCCTGTATCACTCTCCTCCCACAGGGCAAGCTGATGGAGCTGGAGCCAATGGTTTCCCAGGCGCTTCTGGAGCACCTGCCAGGCAGCGACCTGCTGCAGAACGCTCTGTTCAACTCCTGTGCCATCGTGGGCAACTCGGGCTTTAACCTGCTCTTCAGGGATGGGCATCTGATTGACAGCCACGACGCTGTTTTCCGATTGTTTGAGTGAGTGGATGGTGGAAATAACTTACCTGATTGGCTTGTCAGCCACGACGATTTGAGTGAGTAGACGGACCTTGATATGAGTGCAATGTGCCTTTTTCCAGGGAAGAGGGCGTGGCAGCAGTAGTAGTGTGGTGGATCCACAGCATGTGTGGAGCCCAAGGTCTGATTAATCCCTCCTCATCCCCTCCTTCCCCCCACCTCCCTCCTTCCTTCTCCCGCTCTCCTTCCCCCCCACTCTCGCTCCTCCCCCTCCTCCGCCCCCTCCCCCCTCCCTACCTCTCCCACTATTCAGTGGTCCCACTGTGGCGCGTAGCGGAGAGGGCGCAGCAGCAGTGGCGGTGGATTTCACGGCGTTTGTGGGGAAAAGGGCCACCATGCGAGTGGTGGATGAGGACACAATCGGGTTCAGCGAGGGAGGCGAGATCACCCTCATGAACGTCGCCTCTAAGAAGGGCTTCTACGGTCATTTCCAGGTATGCTTTGCGAGCTGACTTATGAGTAGACTCAATCTGGGGATGGCTTTTCGGGTTCTGTTCAGCGAGGGAGGCAAGATCACCCTCATGAACGTTGCCTCCAAGAAGGGCTTCTGCGGAAATTTCCAGGTATGGAGTTATGCCATGCCAGGCCAGCTTAGGCGCCATCAGGGGTGCAGTGCAGTGCAGTGCGGCTATGCCGTACAACCCGAGGCTGTTCCTTTGTGAATGGATCCGCGTTCGAATGTGTGTTGGCCTCTATGCAACCGTGGTTTCCCTGTTTGTTTCTGAGGCATGTTATGTCAGGAGCTGCTTTTCACCGTCCTTCCTCTCTCCCCCCTCGTCCCTCCCCTCTCATCAGTTCCTGAACGAGCAACCAGACGCCAAGTCGTTTCTCTTTGACCCTGAGTTCTCAACGCACGTGACTGACAACATCGGCCCCATGCCCTCCCCCCTCGCCATGACGCTCTTCCTCGCACTCCAGGTCAGCCCCCCTGTTGCTTCTTTGCCCCTCCTCTCTTCTTGCTCATGTTCCCACCTCCACCCCACCTCCCACCCACCCCTCCCCCTCACCATGACGCTCTTCCTCGCACTCCAGGTCAGCACCCCTGTTGCTTCTTTGTCTCTCTTTTGTTACCTCGTGGTTGTCACTCTTCTTCCTCGTATCCCTCCTCTCTCACCATGACCCTCCTCCCCCCTCCCTCCCCCGCTCTCCAAATATGCGCGTCTCTGGGCGTGTTTGGGGTGCAATGGCGGCCAGGATACGGAGTGCCAGAGCTGTGCTACAGAGACTTCTAGATACCAAATGTCGCCTCCATTCCCTCACCCCTTTTCCCCTCCCTTTCCCCCTCCCACTCCCCTCCATGACTTCAGAAATGTGCATCTCTGGACGTGTTTGGGGTGCACTGGCGGCCAGGATACGGAGTGCCAGAGCTGTACTATAGAGAGACAGACTCTGACGCGGATGTGGTGTACCAGCAGCCAGCAGACCTGCAGCTAGTGGAGGTGAGCGAGGGGGGGAGCATTATAACCTGCTTGGGTGGATGGAAGGGTTGGGCGAAAGATTAGCAAGCCAAACTCAAAACAAAACCTCGGGGACTGAAAAAGGGACAAAGGGCCTGATGCACCAGCAGCCGGCAGACCTGCAGCTAGTCGATATGAGAGATGGGAAGAGATATAAACAGGCACTGGGTGGTGGAAGGGTTGAGCGTACAGTGTCAAGAAATCGTTTAAGGAACAAATGACTGGCAAAGGGCAAGGGGTCTGCTGTACCAGCAGTCAGCAGACCTGTGGTCAATCAAGGTGAGAGAGTGGAAAAGCATGGCTGTTGCAGCAGGCAGTGCGTAACCACAGAAGGCACACATTCAGTTATCCTTCCCTCTCACCCTCCTCCCTGCACATCCTTGCTCGCTTGAACCTCGTGTGACTGGGTCAACTGTGTGTAATTGCTTGTGAGGCTGAAACCACCATCTCACTCCTCGCTCCTTTCCCTCTCACCCTCCTGCCCCTCAACCTTCTCACTTCCCCCCTCTTGCAGACCCTGGCTCGCCTGAACCTGGTGGGGCTGGGCCAGCCATGTGTGATTGGCTGTGAGGCCGAGACGCGCATTCGCTGCGACTCGTGCTCTGCTGGCAGCTCCTGTGCCTGCGGCCGCCACAACCCGCTGCCCGTCGCGCTGCCCGGGTTCTGCCACCTGCCCGGAAACTACACGTGCTTCTTCCGATGCAACGGAAAGTGGGGCAACGCGTGCCAGGTAGGCAGCAGGGCGAGGAGAAAACAGTGTGCTTCAGTTGAGAGTGTGTGTGGTGTGAGAGAAAGTGTGCATGGGTTGAGTCTTGAGACAGCATCTCTCACATCCCTGTTCCCTGCTTCTTTTCTCCTTGCTTCCCATCTCACTTGTTCCCCTGCTCCACAGGGTGGCCCTGGCAGCAGCCTCTGCCCTGACGACTTTGACATCACCGGGCGGGAGTGTGCCACGCCGGCAGATACACCTCCCCCAGAAGAGGCCCCGTGGTGGGCGCGGCGCGGATCAATGCGCGAGTTTGACTCCAAGTTTGAGCGTGCGTACCGGCAGCTGCGGAAACAGAAGATCCGCGAGGCCAAGGAGAGGGCCAGGACTGCCAGGGCTGCCCGGCTCAAGAAGAGAGAGGAGAGAAGCATGCGCCAGCATGGGAATGAGGCCAGGTGAAGGCATTTTGTTGCAGGTGTTTTTTGGAGAATTCTGAAAAGAAAAAGTGCCTGCAACGGAGTGCCAGGGCTGCTCGGCCGAAAAAGAGGGAGGAGAGAAGCAGGTGGAGGGCTGAGGGGATGGCGAATAGGAATTAGGCAACATATTGTTTGGCAAGGGCAAGATCGGGGAGGAAATGAAGTGGTGAAGAGATTGTGGGATTCTTCTGTGTCTGGAGTGGGTATTGAGGGCCAAGTGCATGAGTGCACAATGCACAAGGTGGAAATGCACTGCTGCCTCTTGCACTGCTGCTTCTTAGGACTGTGCCAGCCAGCTAGGAACAGATAGTATTTGACATGCATTTGAATGTCATGATTATGGTGAAACTGATGGATGAGATTATGCAAGGCTTCTAAGTAATGCACGTATTACAGTATAGCTTGTAATATAACAACGTAGCTACCTACAATTCGGAATATTTGAATAACACGTCTCCTCATGTAGGTATGTGTGCAACGAATCAGTCAATGGCGACCGGATTTACAGGCAAGTCAAGCTAAACGACAAGCTCTTGGCACGGCTGGTGGATGAAACCGAGCGGAAAGCTGTCGGCGCGCTTGTGTGGGTGGTGTCTGGAGGGGCTGCATCTGCAACACACACCAATCGAATTCCTTTGCGGCTCCCCCGAGTTCCGGAAAGCGGTCCGGATTTCCCCATTCCGCGAATGCTGTTTCCCCCTGAGCGTCGCGCGCAGGAAAAAGCGGAAGCGGAGGCAAGTCAGGGGAACACTGTAGATACACCTGATGCCTGTTTGAGCCTTTCCAGGTTGCCTTGTGAAGGGGGCGTATATGCTGTATCCTGTATTTCGCAAACGTTTCGTCAATTCGCAGCTAGCTAAAAAGGATTCGCAGGTGCTTATATTAAGAATATGTAACCTTATCCGTTGACATTTTGACTTCAGTCTCTTCAGTTTGACTTCGGTCTGTTCGTTACTATTGGTTCATAACCACGCGACGCGCTTGTAATAGGCTGGGAAATCGACCTCGGGTGCAGCGCTTCCATCCGGTTCAGAGAAAATTCGCGTGCATCGGGTGGGCATCAGCTGTACAAGAAGCTCGAACCAAACGCATTGCTAGCTAGCTTTTATTGGTCAGTTCTCGTTGGGACGGTCCTTCCGCAGGAAGGCGCCGCCGCCGTGTTGCGAGGTGCTCAAGAACGTGTTGCGATTGGTCAGGCGAGTCGCCAAGAGCAAAACGACACTTGCGATTCTCACACCAGGAAGAACCATCACCGTCGATTTCGCTATCGGGGTCTACCCTAACGACGTTGTCAGTGCGGAGCCGACAACAATGCCTTTAGTACGGTGCAGAGTGGTCTGAGGCGCTTCTTTCGAGTTTATGTGTGTTTCTCGAAGATTTTGGTCGGCGCGCACCAAACTCTCCTCCCATTTCCCGGCCCGCTCCACAACCCCCCTTACCCCACCCCCGCACCACACCTCCACGAAATAGTAGGGCCTAAATTCCCCACGCTACTATTTTCTAGTTCCTTCTGCTCAGTAGAAGTGGCGTGGTAGCGAGGCGAGACAGCGTGAAGCAACTAATGTGAAGGTTCTTCCTCAGCCTCCGCCTTTTGGCGCCGCCGGTGCTTCTACTCTTGCGAATGCTCGGACAGTAAACTGAGTACTTTGCGTCGATTGTCTCACTCCTCACCAACAGCCCATCCTGGCTACTTCGACACTCATCGCGTCTCATAGCCTACTGCACATTTCTAGTAACCGATCTCACTTTTCACACCGAAGCTACGGCATATTAGCAAACGGCGAGCGCGAGCTGCACAATGTACTAGCTTTCGCCACCTTCACCGATACGTGGCAGACGAGGAAACTTCTCCAAAGAAACTTATCCCTTAGTCGTCATATTTCCTTCAAAATAAGCGCACTCGCGTTTAGGTCGCCCGATAGAATCGATGAAATCGTCCACGTCGCGCGACGCGCTCTCGTCGCACGGGTCGTCGCCACCGTCGCGCGTCTCCAGCCTGGGATCGCTCGTGTCGCACGGATGGGCCATTCTTAGTCTTAAGCGAAGCAACTCTTATAACGAACGCTTCACTGGCAGCGGCGCACCTGATTGGTTCGGCTCCGACTGGCTTCGTTTTAGTCTCGTTGCGATTAACGCGTGCCTCGTTATCCTCGTTATAAGCGAACTCTCACCGTTTTGCGCACGCCCCTGGGGAGGCGGCGGAGAGGGGAAGCTCCCCCAAGCCGCGTCCGCGGAGGATTCGGGGAAACTTGCGCAGATGCGGGGGCTGCGGCAGGCTCTCCCGCTCTTGGGACTCGACAGCAGCGCGCTCTTGCAGTAAGCGCGGCGGGGGCGGTCGGAAAAAGGGGGGTCGGGGTCGGGGTCACGCGGAGGTGCAATATAACCGACTTGAGGGTAAACCTTGGTTATCCCTGCGTCTTACCGCGTGCGTTTTCCTCAACACCCCAATATGCCCTTTTTACTCCGCCCGCTCCCCCTCTCCTCCCAACGGGTTAAACCGATTTGGGGGTAAACCTTGGTTATACCGCGTGCGTTTTCCTTTGAATCCCAATATGCCCTTTTTACTCCGCCCACTCCCCCTCTCCTCCCAACGGCCATGCAGGCCAGGAGATTCAGGTGCCTCAGGTGGCTCAGGTGGTATTTCAGGTGGCACAACAACAGAAGAGCACGTGTGCTGGACATCATCAGGAGGTGGGTGCTGGCCGGATTGGTGGATGGCATGCTTTGGCGGTAGTGGTATAGTGGTGGATGGCATGCTTTGGCTCTAGTGACTAAGGCGCTGGTTGTGTTGCGGTTCTGCGTTACCTGCAGTGTCTGGCTGTCTGCTTTCTCGCTTAGTTACAAGCTTACTACCCAGTCGACTCAAAAGTCAGCTCGTTACAAGCTTAATACCGAGTCGACTCATAAGTCAGCTCGTTACAAGCGTCACCAACCCTCTCATACCCCTTTCCTTCCTTGCACTCCCCTCCCTCTCATCCCCACCCCACCCACCCTCCCTCCTCCACCCAACCCAACCCCCCTTTCCGCCTACCACACAACCCCTCCATCCGTCCGCCCGCCCACTGGATAGCGCCGGAGGAAACAAACAAGGGCAGCAAGCACCCGTGGTGGCAGCGGGATGTCTCTCTGCTGCGCCCTCTGTGCACCCGCCATTGTAACGAGGTGACTTTTGAGTCGACTCAAAAGTCACCTCGTTACAATGGCACAAGACACTTTTGAGTCGACTCAAACAAGGGCAGCAAGCACACGTGGTGGCAGCGGGATGCCTCTCTGCTCCTCCCTCAGTGCACCCGCCCACTAGATTCCTCCCCTCCCTCTCCCCCATCCCCCTTCCTCCCCCAACAAGCGCAGACTACGAGGTCCCATCAGGGGTAGCAGTTCACGGGCGCGGCTGCATCAGGAATCCCTGCATGATATCATCGAACACTCACCTCGTTCAATCCCCACCTCACCCCACCCTCCTCCACCCAACCCAATCCCAATCACATTCACGGCCCTGGCTGTTATGCCTGCCTGCGGGGGCAGCGCTGCGCCTTCCTCGTCTCCATCCGCAAGCACTCCCTTATTGAAACCCGCCCCGCCTGTTCCTCCATCCCTCCACTCCCCCACCGACTACAGACTACGAGGCCCCATCAGGGGTGGTGATTCACGGCCGCGGCTGCTCTGAGTGCCTGCGGGGGCAGCGCTGCGCCTTCCTCGTCTCCATCCGCAAGCACTCCCTTATTGGAACCCGCCCCGCCTGTTCCTCCATCCCTCCACTCCCCCACCGACTACAGACTACGAGGCCCCATCAGGGGTGGTGATTCACGGCCGCGGCTGCTCTGAGTGCCTGCGGGGGCAGCGCTGCGCCTTCCTCGTCTCCATCCGTCCGCCCGCCCACTGGATAGCGCTGGAGCAAGCAGACAAGGGCAGCAGCAGCAAGCACACGTGGTGGCAGCGGGACCTCTCTTTGCTCCTCCGCGGCCCAGCGCTCGCCCACGGAGACATACGGTGTCTGGACCCTCCGCACTGCCTGGAACTATCGGTTGCATACCGTGTGTGGGATATCGGGGACTACTGGTGAGTGATTGTCAGGGCACGTCAATGAGCTGACTTTTGAGGCGCCTCAAAACGACTTTTGAGGCGACTTTTGAGGCGACTTTTGAGGCGACTTTTGAGGCGACTTTTGAGGCGACTTTTGAGGCGACTTTTGAGGCGACTTTTGAGGCGACTTTTGAGGCGACTTTTGAGGCGACTTTTGAGGCGACTTTTGAGGCGACTTTTGAGGCGACTTTTGAGGCGACTTTTGAGGCGACTTTTGAGGCGACTTTTGAGGCGACTTTTGAGGCGACTTTTGAGGCGACTTTTGAGGCGACTTTTGAGGCGCCTCAAAACTGGTAAGTGATTGTGAGGGCACGTCAATGAGCAGTGAGCAGCAAGCACACGTGGGCAGCAAGATTGAAATCACTTTTGAGAATCCTCAAAAGTGATTTCAAATTAGTGAGTAGCAAGCACACTTGAGTAGCAAGCACACGTGGGCACCAAGGGAGCCGTGCAACGGGAGGCAGGCAGAGGGGTGTCTCTCTCTGCTGCTTTGAGGTCGTTTTTGAGGCGCCTCAAAAACGACCTCAATGCAACGGGGAGGCAAGCGCAAGAAGCACACGTGGCGGCAGAGGGATCTCTCTCTGGTGAGTGATAGTAAGGGTGGGAGGAAGAGCATAGGTCGCAAGCTGCTAGCCTGCCTGCTATGCTCGCCCACGGGGACGTGCGGTGCCTCGATCCCCCCCAGTGCCTTGAATTGACTGTGTCATACCGCATGTGGGACATTGGGGAATACTGGTGAGTGCTGGAGAAAGACCAACAATAGCGGTTGCACACGTGGCACGGATCAAAACACACCACCCCCCCCTCTGCACCAACCACGTGGCACCTGGTACACGTGGCACGTGGTACACACACACGTGGCACCAGGTACACACACACGTGGCACCTGGTACACACACACGTGGCACGTGGTACACACACGTGGCACCTGGTACACACACGTGGCACCTGGTACACACACGTGGCACGGATGAACACACACCCTTTGCACTCTCTTGTAATCGCCACGTGCTCGCTGCCGCTTGAATCATCTCAGCTGTATTGCTTCCAGTTGTAATGAGTCGACTCAGAACTCGACTCATTACACGCGGAGTTTGTCGTGATGCAGGTCCAGCCGAACCTTCCTCATTGCAGCCTTCTATCCTCTTTCTCTCCTCTTCCCTCCTTCCCCTTCCTTTACTGTCCCTTCCCCCCAGCAGGTGATCCATTCCGCCCCTTGTTCCTCCTGACATATGTAATGAGCTTACTCTCCTCCCCTCCTCGTGTACCAGGCGACCCTGAACAAGTCTTAACTCCCTCGCAAGGGCTCAGTCAGATTGCTCCTGCTTCTCCCTACTGCTAGCTTCCTTTGGCTTAGGAAAACAAGATTACAGTAAGAAGAGAAACATACAAGCAAAAAGCGAGAAACCAGAGTGCTACCCCGGCTACATTCCCTCCTCCTCCTGCCTAGGAGCCTTCCTTCCCTCGCTAGCTCTAGTGCCAAACGCGAGTCAGCTGAGCTGCTCGCGATGGTTCCAAGGTGCTAGCTGGGCCCCACTGGCCCACTAGGCATGCACTGCCTTCCAGCTGGAATCGAGTTCCTAGCCTGGAATCGCATTCCCAGCTGGAATTGCATTCCCAACCTGGAATCGAATTCCCAGCTGTAATCGAATTCCCCAGCTGGAATCGAATTCCTCCTTCCACACCAACCTCCCTGTAGTCCCCTGCACTCGGCTCTATAGCGTATATACAGTACATCCCACGCACACAAAAAGAAATTAGAGTACATAACCAGAAATGCACCATTACCTGGCTGCTGTGTAATTCACACCTTAGCCACCGGCTAGGTGTTAATAACGCGACAGCTGTCGTGATGCAGGTCCAGCCGAACCTTCCTCATTGCAGCCTTCTATCCTCTTTCTCTCCTCTTCCCTCCTTCCCCTTCCTTTACTGTCCCTTCCCCCCAGCAGGTGATCCATTCCGCCCCTTGTTCCTCCTGACATATGTAATGAGCTTACTCTCCTCCCCTCCTCGTGTACCAGGCGACCTTGCCCCCTCCCGTGCCTGAGCAGCAGCTCCTGCAGCTCGGGTCACGGGATTCTTAGCCTGAATCTGCACTCCCTTTGCTCTAGCCACATTCGTCGCATGCTCCTTGATATTCCTTCCGCGCTGGTCCTCCAGCACTAACACTCCCGACCCCCGTACTTCCTTCACCTTCCACCGTTCGGAACCCACAGCTAAGTCCAGCGTGTCCTTCTTCGCCTTCCTCAGGTATACCTCTTGCCCCGCTGCTATAGCCTCTCTCTGCTTTCCGTTACCCTCTTCCTTACGCTGCTGATATCGACGGGCATCCCTCAGCTGAGCCACGTGCAGATTATCCAAGGCTGCAGGTGTCAGCTCCCTCAGGTACCGAGCCCTCTTCTGTGCTACTTCGGCCCATAAACCTGGCTCATCTGCCTCCACGGCCACTGACAACACCTTCGGCGCATCCACGGGTAAAACTGAGTCTCGACCGTATAGCAGATGGTAGGGTGTTAGATCCTTTAGGGCAGACTGCTTAGCAAACCTGTACCCCGCCAGGATCCAGGGGAGCTCCTTATCCCAGTTCCTCTTGTTATTCTCCCCGTATGCCCTCAGTCCCTTCTTCAGGGTTTGTACCATTCGTTCAGTCAACCCATCCGACTGCGGGTGATACCTGGAAGTCACCCGATGGGTGATTCGGTGCTCTTTCAGCATCTCCTCAAAGTTACCTTGGAATTCGGTTCCCTGATCCGTCAGCACCTCCCCGCAAGCTCCGTACCTGGTGAGCACCTCTTGCACGAAGGCCTCCGCAATCAAGCTGCTATTCTTGTTGGGCAAAGCCCTGGCTTCCACCCACTTGCTGGTATGCTCCATCATTACCAGGATGTACTGCTTACCCTTGGTGGACAGAGGTAATTCTCCTGCCAAGTCCAATGACCAACGGTACCCCAAACCTCGGATCGGTAGGGACTGCAGCTCGTCTCTTTCCCTCTCCAAAGCAGCCTTGTTTCGCTGGCAAGCTTCGCAAGATGCCACCATTGCAGCCACGTCTTTCCTCATACCCGACCACCAGTACATCGTGCACAGCAGCTGCCGAGTCCTAGCCATTCCGTAATGCCCTAGTTTCCCATGTACCTTCAACATGATTCTCTCCCTGTCTTGCGGCGGTGGTACGACTCGCCATCCTTCCGTGGTGCGCAGTTGTAGCTGATCCTGAAACCATAGCCCCCTGAAACCAATGCTGCCCCCTAGCCCTGGCTCGTTCACTCACTCCTGAGTCGTCTACCGGCTCCCCTTTGATCCACCCCATAGTCTCCCGATCCTCCCACACATCCCCCTGCCGCTGCTCTCCCTTCTCTTGCCCCCAGGTCGCTTCAGCCACCTGCGCTAACGCTATCAGCTGTGCAACTGGCTGCAGTGGAGGCGGGTTCCTAGATAACCCATCCGCGTGTTGCAGTGTCTTGCCCGGTCGGTGACGGATGTCGAAGTCGAATCCCAGCAGTTTGATTGCCCACCTGGCGTTCCTGCCCGTCAGTTCTTGGTTCTTCATCAACCATAGCAAGGGCTGATGGTCGGTCACTAGCGTGAAGTGTCGGCCTTGCAGGTACACCTTGAAGTGGGTGATTCCCCACACGGCGGTCAGTCCTTCCCCTTCGTACGAGCTGTAATTAGCTTCAGTAGGGCTGCAGCTACGACTGGCAAATGCTACGACTCTCTCCTCTCCGCCTATCTCCTGACAGAGCACTGCCCCCATCCCCATACTGCTCCAGTCGGTGTACAGGACGAATGGCGCATCCGCCCGCGGTATCTGCAGCAGGGTACCCATCTTCACTGCTTCTAGCAGATCTTGCCTGGCTGCTTCTTCAGTCTCTCCCCACTGCCAACTCTTCCCCTCCCTGAGCAGCTGGTTCAAGGCGTGTGCTCGGCGGCTGACATTCGGCACGAACTTCCTGTAATAGTTCAGGAAGCCAAGGAGCGCCCGTAGCCCAGATTTATCCTTCGGTGCAGCCAAATCCTCCAGCACCTTGACTTTAGCTTCCTGTATCGCCAGTCGGCCCCCCCTCACCTCAAACCCCAGGTACGCCACTGTGCGGCGGGCTATCTTGCACTTGTCCGGGTGGCACGTAAGTCCTGCAGCTGCTATCGCCTCCAACGTCTGCTTCAAGTCCTGCACGTGCTGTTCGTCGCTTTCACTAAAGATGAGCACGTCGTCAATGTAGCAGGCTGCTGCTGGGATTCCCTTCAGTACCTGATCCATAGCCCGTTGAAACACGGCTGGAGCATTGCGCACCCCAAACGGCATCACGTTGTATTCGTACAGCCCGTCCACTCCGTGGAAAGCTGTTTTCCGCTTGTCCCCCTCTTTGATAGCGATTTGGTTGAACCCCTGCCTTAAGTCCAGCGTGGAGAAGATCGTTGCTCCTTCTAGTTTATCGAAAATCTCATCCGCTGTCGGCATGGGATATCGGTCCGGTTGGGTGATCTTGTTCAGGTCCCTAAAATCCCCGCACATCCGCTTCGCTAACACTTTCCCCGTGATGTCTTTTCTAGTGGCTACTACTGTGGCCGCAGCATAACTCGACTCCGACAGGCGTATTATCCCTGCTGCCAGCAGCTCTTCGCATTTTTCCTTGCAGATAGCCGCATCTTCAGCATTCATCCGCCTCCTGCGCTGATAAGTGGGCAGCTCTGTGGTTAAGTTTAACTCCAGCTCTCCCCCTTTGTACCTTCCTAGCTCCTGTAAGTTGTATGCGAAAGTGCCTCTGTGCTGCTGCAGTACCTGCCTGATAGCTTCCGCTGCCTCCTTCTTTATATTGGCTCCTATCTCCCATCCCTTGCCTGCTTCCGTGTCCTTGACTCATGCCTGCGCCTCTGCATGTGTCCCTTTTGTAGCCACCTTCTCTATTGCTGCGTATGCTGCTTGTTTATAGCACTGACCTCCTCCTCTCTCCTGTTTCCTTCCCTGCTGCCCTGGACCCTTCCTCATTTCAGTCACCAGCCATCTCAGCGAATGCTGATCGATAGCCCTGCCCAAGGCTGCTCGACGAGCCTCTTCCCCCACTCCCTCCGCTGCAGTGGCTCCCGGAAAGTACCCCATGGCCAACTCGCGTTCCAAGGCGGTCGGCTCTTCCCACTTCCTTTTCCGGTAATCGTACACCATCCCTGGGCCGGGATTTCCGTCTTGCTCAATAAAGCCTCGAGCTTTCGCGTAAGCCACTAACGTCGGCCAAGCTCTTCTCGCTTCCCCTACCCGGTTGCACTGGTACTGTAGGGGGTGATCCGGTTTGACCACTGGA